AAAAAAAAAAAAAAAGTAAAGCATTGCATATCTTTATGCTGTTGTTTCCAATACCCAGACAAACTCCCACATGACTTGGTTGTGTAGCCTACCAATCTATTATTATTATTGTTTTATTTAGAGAGAAGCTCTCGCTCTATCACCACCTGTGCTGGAGTGCAGTGGTGCAATTGTGGGCTCACTGCAGCCTCAAACTCCTGGGCTTGAGCGATTTTCCCACCTCAGCTTTCGAAGTAGCTGAGACTATAGGCACATGCCACCACGTCTGGCTAATTTTTCTTTCTTCTTTTTTTTTTTAGTTTTTAGTAGAAATGCGGGGGTGGTCTCACTATGTTGCCCAGGCTGGTCTTGAACTCCTAGACTCAAGTGATCCACCTGCCTCAGCCTCCCAAAGCGTTGGGACTACAGTTGTGAGCCACAGTGCTCAGCACTTTTTTTTCTTGAGACAAGGTGTCACTCTGTTGCCCAGGCTGGAGTGCAGTGGCGCAAACGTGGCTCACTTCTGCCTGGACCTCCCAGCCTCAAGCAATCCTCCCGCTTCAACCTCCTGAGGAGCTGAAACTACAGGCCGGCCCCACTGTGTCCTGCCTCACGCCAATACTTCTTATTGGCTAATTCTTAAATTCTTCATTGTTAATCCCAGTGGATCCCTGACAGAGGAATCATAAAATACCACACATTTCCCACAAATTGCATACAATGCTTTATGTGCATGGGGACTTTTCTGGGGAGAGTTTCTGGAATTTTCATCGAATTTCCAAGGGGTTTATGACCCCAAAAGTTCTGGAACAAAAGCCTGAAGAGCCAGAGCCATCGGCTTAACCCTCCTGCGTGCTGTTTCCGTTTTCTCAGGCGTAGCTTTTGAACCTCCCGACACAGGGCGGGGTTGACTCAGACTAGTCCAGTGGACAGGGGAACTGCAGCAGACAGCAGGGGGCATGGGGAAGGGGCTCTGTCCCCCAAGGTTCCTCGTGCACATCTTCACCCAAAGTCACCACCAGGGTCCCTGTGGGCCCCTAGCACCCCAAGACACCTCAGGGACCTCTCATGGCTCAGCAGCTGCACCAGCCGTTGCACTTGGGCTGGGTCCAAACTGGCGAGTTGGAAACTGAAATACGCTCTCCAGATGAAGGCAGCAGCAGGGAGCGTAGGGACCTAGGTTCCAGCCTTGGCCATTTTGCTAAATACATTTATAACCCTGAAGTCATTTCTTTTCTCTGGGCCTCAGTTTCCCTGTCTGTTAAATGAGGTAATTGGACTGTGTTCATAGTTTTCACACTATGCTACAATGTGTCCAAGAGTTCAATCATTCCTTTCTTATTCAAGTTTTGTAGAGACAGAGTCATGCTCTGTTGCCCAGGCTGCAGTGCAGTGGCACGATCATAGCTGACGGCAGCCTCAAACTCCTGGACTCAAACGATCCTCCCACCTAAGCCTCCCGAGTAGCTGGAATTACAGGCACGGGCCTCTATGCGTAGCTCAAGTATTTCTTTAACGGCTGTTTACTGAGCATATACTATGTGTCAGCCACTGTTCTAGGCCCTGGGGGAGACAGCAGTGACCAAGACAAAATCTAATGTGGGAGAGGAACAATGACAGAGTAAACAAATAAACAAAATGAAGTAAAAAAAAAATAATTGCAGCAGCCGGGCACGGTGGCTCACGCCTGTAATCCCAGCACTTTGGGAGACCAAGGCGGGCAGATCACGAGGTCAGGAGTTCGAGACCAGCCTGACCAACATGGTGAAAACCCCTCTCTACTTTAAAAATACAAATACAAAAATTAGCTGGGCATGGTGGCAGGTGCCTGTAATCCCAGGTACTTGGGAGGCTGAGGCAGGAGAATCCTTGAATCCGGGAGGTGGAGGTTGCAGTGAGCTGATATTGCGCCACTGCACTCCAGCCTGGGTGACAGAGTGAGACTCTGCTCAAAATAATAATAATAATTGCAGATAGGCAGCGCTATGAAAACAGTAACATGAAAGTGGTATGCTGGTGAAATGTTTACTGTCTCTCAAAAAAAAAAAAAATATATATATATACATGGGGGCCGTGGTGGCTCGGGCCAGTTGTCCTGGCACTTGAGGAGGCAAGGCTATGCGTTCAAGGCCAAAATATATACATAAACACACAGATCTATATGCACAAAAGTTTATTATTCACAAAGTAACAGCTGCAGATGAACGTACTTCTAAGTTTAAACTGCCTCAGTAACATTTTTTTTTTTTTGAGTCAGGGTCTTGCTCTGTCACCCAGGCTGGAGTGCAGGGGCACAATCATGGCTCGTTGCAGCCTTGAATTCCCAGGCTCAAGTGATCCTCCCAACTCAGCCTCCTGACTAGCCGGGACTGCAGGTGCACGCCACCATGTTTGGCTAATTTTTAATTGTTTTGTGGAAAGCTAAAGTGGGTAGGCCAGACAGTGGCTCATGCCTGTAATGCCAGCACTCCGGGGGGCCGAGGCGGGTGGATCACTTGAGCCCAGGAGTTTGAGACCTGGGCAACAGGGCAAAACCCCATATCTGAAAAAAAAAAATACAAAAATTAGCCAGGCATGGTGGCATGTACCTTTAGTCCCATCTTCTCAGGAGGCTGAGAGGTGGGAGGATCACCTGAGTTAGGGGAGGCAGAGGTTGCAGTGAGCCAAGATTGTACCACTGCACTCCAGCCTGAGCATTGGAGTGACACCCTATCTCAAAAAAATAAAATAGACATAAACCTGAGGTGACAAACCGGAGGCGAAGGACTTGTTTCATTGGCCTGTTTGTGGTTATTAAAGTTTGAATTTGATGCTTGCAATACACATAGGAGATTGCACAAAAAGATGTGGTTTGCTGACTTCCCTTGAAAAATGGGAAAGCCTGTTCAGTCTCCATTTCCTCGTGGTGAGAGTTGGCTGGTCAGAGCAGCCAGTGACCCAGTTAAAGGAGGAATCAGGTCTCCAGTTCACCACCATTCCCACTGCTCCCTAACGTCACCCAGCTGGTTCCATCTCCTCTCCTCTGTTCTCCGTGTGGAGCATGTACAGTACTGAGTGCACCAGCCCCTGAGAGTTTGTTTTCGAGACAAAATTTCACTGTCACCCAGTGCAGTGCCAAGATCTCGGCTCATGGCAACCTCTGCCTCCTGGATTCAAGTGATTCTCCTGCCTCAGCCTCCCAAGTAGGTGGGATGACAGACACCCACCACCACGCCCAGCTAATTTTTGTATTTTTAGTATAGATGGGGTTTTGCCATGTTGCCCAGCCTGGTCTCGAACTCCTGACCTCAGGTGATCTGCCCACCTCAGCCTCCCAAAGTGCTGGGATTACAGGCGTGAGCCACCACTCCTGGCCTGTTTTTTTGTTTGTTTGTTTGTTTTTTCCTGAGACAGAGGCTCCCTCTGTCACCCAGGCAGGAGTGCAATGGTACGCTCTTGGCTCACCGCAACCTCCGCCTCCTGGGTTGAAGTGATTCTCCTGCCTCAGCCTCCCAGGTAGCTGGAACTACAGGTATGTGCCACCATGCCCGGTTAATTTTTGTATTTTTAGTAGAGATGGGGTTTCACCATGTTGGCCAGGCTGATCTCAAACTCCTGACCTCAAATGTTCCATCCACCTTGGCCTCCCAAAGTGTTGGGATTACAGGCGTGAGCCACCGTGCCCGGCCTGATAAAAGGTTTTGAACAAAGTGGTGTGAATGTGAGCTCACCCTCATAGCCACGCACCCTTATGCAGGCCACAACCTGCGAAACTGTGCCTGGCAGCCCTGATGAGGAGAATGGACTCTGAGCCTGTCACCAGCTGTGGATGTTTCCTACGGTAAGGGAAGCCTCAGCCCAGCTCGGGGAGAAAAGCAAATGTGGGAGGTTGAGGGGAAGGTGAGGTTAGATGCCTGGCATACCCACCGTGCAGTGGGCAGGGGACGTCACTCCTGCCACCCGGAGGAGGGTGCCTGGCCTCATAGAGCCCATCTTCAGTGTCCTCCAATTCTGCAATTGATGAGCAGCACCTCTGGATCCTGGGCCTCTGTCCCTGAGGAGCTGTCAGCTCTGACTTTGATCCCAGTCAGGTGAACGGCCTCCTCCCAACACGCGTGGTGGGGCAGAGCCCGCTGAGACCAGCCGTTTAGAAGACTCATCAGCTACCTGATGCCCTCATCCAGCTTCCAAGACCAGCTCGGGACAGGGAAGGGAAGTCGGAGATAGGGGATGGGCCGCAGCCAGGGCTTTGCCTGGTGGGAAAGGCCCAGGCTGAAGAACTGGGAAAAGGCAGCAGGGTGCTGGTTGTAGAATTCTCTGTGCTTTTCAAATGTTTCCAATTTAAAAAACAAAACAGGCCCAGGTGCAGTGACTCATGCCTGAAATCCCAGCACTTTGGGAGGCCAAGATGGGACGATCCTTGAGTCCAAGAGGTCAAGTCCAGCCTGGGCAACATAGCAAGACCCTGATACTACAAAATTATTTTCTTCTTCTTTTTTTTTTTTTTTTGTTTGAGACAGAGTTTTGCTCTTGTCGCCGAGGCTGGAATGCAGTGGCGCAATCTCAGCTCACTGCAAACTCTGCCTCCCAGGTTCAAGCGATTCTCTTGCCTCAGCCTCCCGAGTAGCTGAGATTACAAGCATGCACCACACCCAGCTAATTTTGTATTTTTGGTAGAGACAGTGTTTCTCCACATGGGTCAGGCTGGTCTGCAGCTCTCAGCCTCAGGTGATCCGCCCACCTCGGCCTCCCAAGTGCTGGGATTACAGGCGTGACACATCATGCCCGGCCAAATTTTTAAAAATAAAATAAAAACAAAAACAGCCCCTCCCCCGAGATGCCAAGGATGAGAGGGCCTCCCCAGACCCTGCCTCCCACTGGGACAGCTACCCAGGACCAGGATAAAATTTGCAGAGCCCAGTACAAAATGAAAATGTGGCCAGTCGTGGTGGCTCACACCTATAATCCCAGCACTTTGGGAGGCCGAGGTGGGTGGATCACTTGAGGTCTGGAGTTCAAGACCAGCCTGGAGGTCCTGACCGCGCAGACTCAGGAGTAGGGAGAACATGGAGGCAGTGCCAGCTCTCTGGGCACCCAGCCTATGCCACTGAACAAGGCCCCATGCTTGGAAGGCCCCACGCTTGACTTTATGCTCTGGTTGCCCTCTTGAAATTCTTAATTTTTGAACAAGGGAACCCCGCATTTTCTTTTTTGAGACAGGGTCTCACTCTGTCACCCAAGCTGGAGTGCAGTGGCATGATCTTGGCTCACCACAACCTCCGCCTCCCAGGTTCAAGCAATTCTCCCACATCAGCCTCATGAACAGCTGAGACCACAGGTGTGCGCCACCACACCCAGCTAATTTTTTGTATTTTTAGTAGAGATGGGGTTTCACCGTGTTGCTCAGGCTGGTCTTAAACTCGTGGGCTGGGATTGCAGATGTGAGCCTGGCCCTGGATGCTGATAATTCAAAACAAAAACAAAACCAGAAAAGAACAATTGTTGGTGAGGACGTGGGGAAACTGCAATCCTCGTGCATTGCTTGTGGGAATGCAAAATGGTGCAGCTGCTGTAGAAGACAGTCTGGCAGTTCCTCAAAAGGTTGAGCATAGAGTTCCCACAGGACCCAGCAATTCCACTCCCAGGCATCTACCCAAGAGAGGTGAAAGCAGACTTCCACAAAAAACATGAATGTGCCCAGCAGCACTATTCACAATAGCCCAAAGGTGGAAACAGCCCAAATATCTATCAATGGATGAATGGATAAACAAAATGTGGCAAGCCATACGATAGGGTATTACTCAGCCATAAAAAGGAATGAAGTGCTGATTCATGCCACAAGACGGTTGGACCTTGCACAGGTGATGAGAGAAGCCAGACATGAAAGGGCACGTCGTATAGGGTTCCATGTACGTGAAGAAGTCAGAAGGGCCAATCTATAGAGCCAGATTTGAGACTGCTGGTGGCCAGGGGCTGTGCGGAGGCAGAGCTGGGGAGTGACTGTTAATGTGTATAGGGCTTTCTGTTAGCATGATGAAAATGTACTGGAACTAGATAATCATGATGGTTACACAACATCATTCATGTACTAGATCTCCCTAATGATAACTTTTATGTTCTTTGCAAGTTGCTGCAATAAAAACAATTTAAAAAACGTTAGGCCAGGCGCGGTGGCTCACACCTATAATCCTAGCACTTTGGGAGGCTGAAGCAAGTAGATTCTTTGAAGCCAGGAGTTCGAGACCAGCCTGGCCTACCTGGTGAAACCCTGTCTCTATGAAAAATACAAAAAGATTAGCTGAGCATGGTGGTGGGCGCCTGTAGTCCCAGCTACTCAGGAGACTGAGAAAGGAGAATTGCTTGAACCAGGGAGGCAGAGGTTGCGGTGAGCCAAGATTGCATCACTGCACTCCAGCCTGGACGACAGAGAGAGATCCTGTCTCAAAAACAAACACACAAAAAACAAAAGAAAACATTATATCTCTGGTCCGGTATGGAAGCTCACACCTATAATCTCAACACTTTCGGAGCCTGAAGTGGGAGGATTGCTTGAGGCCAGGAGTTCGAGAACAGCCTATTCAACAAAGCAAGGCCTTGTCTCTACCAAAAAAAAAAAAAAAAAAATTAGCTGGGCATCATGGTGTGTGCCTGCAACTGTGGTCCCAGCTACTGCGAGACAGAGAATAGAAAGAGGACGTTAGTGAGAAAACTAGTGACGCACATACAGCTTGAAGTTTCACTGACGGTGACCCCGAAGGCTAAGGTGGGAGGATTGCTTGAGCCCGGAAGGCTGAGGCTGCAGTGAGCTGTGATCGCACCTCTGCACTCCAGTCTGGGTGACAGAGCAAGATCCTGTCTCAAAACAACCAAACAAACAAACAACACTCCTGTCTTAAATGTCATGTGGGACCCTGGGAAAAAAAGAGGACATTAGTGAGAAAACTAGTGACACGCAAATATAGCTGGCAGTTTCATGGGTAGTGATGTGCCGTGTTGGTTTCCCAGTCGTGACAAATGTACCCCAGTACTGTGGGATTTTAAGAGAAGGAGAAACTGTGAGGCACATACGGGAACTTTCTGTATTGTCTTGAGACTTTTCTGTAAATCTAAAATTATTCCAAAATTAAACATTAATTTTTTAAAAATCCTATGTACCTTCTAAAAAGCAGCTAGCTCGGTCTCTGGAAGGTTCTTTTGTCTCCTAAGGCCCACTTTTGGGTGTGGGTTTACAAATCAAGGGGCTGGAGCTGACTCCATTCTCAGCCTGAGAGAGGAGGGATGAGAAAAGATGGGAAATGGGAGAGGAGCTTAGACTGGAACAGGGCTGGGCTGGGGCCAGGAAGCCCCTTGGCAGGGACTTTGCAGAGCAGGAATGTCCAACACTGAAGCTGCAAACTACAGCCCACAGGCTGAAGACCACCCCACACGCGTGCTTTGTTCATCCCTGGTTTTGTCAGAGCAGCAACATGCGAGATCAGCTGGTTTTTATGTATTGAGCCAATACATAAAAAACAGCTGATCACGCACGAAAATTGGAATTTCCAACTTCTCTGGAAATATCTGAAGTTATGTTAAGTCTCCAAACACTTAACCTCCTGCTTCCTAAAATCAAACAGAAGTCCTGAGGTTAATTCTAACCAGGGTTGCAAGTTCCCCTTTGTACCAGGCTGAGTGGTGGCCCCTGAAAGATTCCCTTGTCAAACCCCCGAACTTGAGAAGTGACCATATTTGGAAAAAAGTTTTGCAGATGCAGTGAAGTCAAGGATCTCCAGACAAGAGCATCCCGGATTACCTAGGTGGCCCCTAAATCCAGTGACAAGTGTTTTTATAAGAGAAAGGCAGGGCTGGCCAGGTTCGGTGGCTCATGCCTATAATCCCAGCACTTTGGGAAGCCAAACAGGCAGATCATCTGAGGTCAGGAGTTCTAGACCAGGCTGGCCAACATGATGAAGCCCATCTTTATTAAAAATATAAAAATTAGCCAGGCGCAGTGGCTCACGCCTGTAATCCCGGCACTTTGGGAGGCTGAGGCAGGCATATCACAAGGTCAGGGTTTTGAGAACAGCCTGATTAACATGGTGAAACCTGGTCTCTACTTAAAAATACAAAAATCAGCTGGGCGTGGTGATGTACACCTGTAATCCCAGCTACTTGGGAGGCTGAGGCAGGAGAATTGCTTGAACCTGGGAGGGGAAGATTGCGGTGA